TGCTTTCCGTTGAAAGTTGGCCACCAACACCAAAGCTTAAAGTGTTGCAGAGAGCACAAAAACTGGACAACTGATCAATGGAGTCGTGTCCTCTTTATGGATGAGAGTCGGTTCAGTACCAGAAGCAATTCTCAACACATTTTGATTTCGAGAGAGGTCGGGACCTGGTTTTATCCCAGTAACATCAACGACAGATACCGTAACGGTGGTCCTGGAGTTATTGTCTGGGGAGGCATTATGCTGAACGGGCAAACTGAGCTCCACGTTTTCGACAGAAAGCCTGTAACCGGGGATCACTATTTTGAGGAGGTGCTCCTTCCCCATGTGCGTCTCTTCCGAGGTGCCATTGGCACAGACTTAAGTTTTATGGATGACAATGCACGGCCACATCGAACTCTTGCTGTTGAGGAGCTACTAGAAAGTGAAGATATCACTCGAACAGATTGGCCAGCGTACTTCCCAGATTTAAATCCCATCAAACATGTGTGGGATGCTTTGGAGAGACGCATTGCAGCACGCTTACATCCTCCGGAGAACAACCAACAACTCAAACAGATGCTCATTGAGGAATGAGCACTCCTACCACAAGAAATGTTGCACCAGCTGGTTCTGAGTATGTGGAGACAGTGTGAAGAAACCATTGCAGTAAGGGGAGGGCATATCCCACATTAAGGAACATCTGCTTGTTGTTCTTCCTCTTGGACAGACAATCATGAGTCACGATACAATACATTCAATAAAGCTTATTTTTGTTTGATTCCATACAATATGCATTGTATTCCTTTTTCAGCTCCGACGCTTTCATCATCCTTTACGTACATAATACTCTCCTTCATTTCTGCATTTCATCTTTCTCAGCAGATTTCTTGTGAAGTTATGGCAAAAACCCCTACTGTTGCTTAAGTTTTGCACAACAGTGTATATGAAGATGCACAAAACTTAGGTGGTGGGGAGTAGGAGGAGATGAGCTCGCGCTTGGTGTTGAGTGCTGTAAAAGTAACATAAATATTTTAGAAACTTTGAATATCTAGTGCACACATTACAAATATTTTTTACATTTACACTCAGATATAAAAAAGCTTGAGCTTGGTGTATGCCAGTTTTTATGACGTATTGATATTAAGTAAAAACTAGTATAAATTATGAAAAAAATATGAATTTGTAGATGGGAATTTTTGAGTTTTTTTCAACACCTTTGTAAGTAGTCATTGTGAGCTGTCTGTCAGATTTTCAAAGGAAAATGAAAACTCGAGTCTGATGAATGGCAGATTGCTTTTGATACTGTTTTGAAATGACTCTATATCATTCTGTACTTTTTGATGTCACACAATAGCTCCTTCAATCCTTCAAACTGTATCACACATCAAGAATTCTGCATGCTTAAAATCCAAAGACATTGTGCTTAATAACATGCAAATTCAATGTAAGAGGTACCAGACATATATCTATTGAGATCAGAATAACAATAAGAAGTGTCACTAAGGTGTTACAACAAAAGACCTACAAAATCTTTTTATTAACAGAAAATAATCAAGAAAAATATCAATTACGTCTTTCATGTTTAATCATTCGAATGTTTAGGTATTATAGCAGAGGACAAGAAAAATAGTTCCACTAACGACTCACTGTGTCAGTCATTACTAACTAATAATTAAAATCTCATGTGTGTTCCATTAAGACATGGAACAAAGTTAACTAAATTTCCAAGCTGGTGGCTGATTTACAACAATTAAAGGTATTTCCATGACATGATATAAAAACCTTTGGATTGATATATTTACATATTTTTACAGAAGGTCCTTAGACTATTATTTTATGTTCCCTTATTGCTATGTTATCTTATACCAGATCATGAAGAACTTAGCCACACATAAAACCTCAGAATCATGAAATATATGGAACTGATTATCAAACATTTATCACATCTGAAATACTTCTCCTAAAATTTCAGGTTCCATACAAAGGAATGATATTTGTGTGCATGTTTCTATATTGAGATATTGCTCAAATGTAAATGAAATTTCAAAATATTTATAGATTTTTTTTTTTTTTTCCATTTTAAAAAAGCATTTTGACGTCAGGATGGTTAACTGTCCACAAATCATAAAATTACACATATGTATTCTCAGGTTCCAAAACTGATTTTTCTTTTTCTAAAGCAATGGAATGCAAAACGTGTCTTAATCACAAAACTAAAACAACTCATTTTTTTTTTTTATAAATATAAGTAAACTATGAGATTCTATAAAAGCTATGTTTTGAAATCTCTTACCACATAGAACTCACAATAAAGAAAATCTAACTGCAATCATAACATTTTTGCATAAAGATGAAGGCATAATGGAAATTCTTGAGATTAACCTTTCTGTAGTCAACAGTATATAGCAAAATGTGTTGAAGTGTCTTATGTGAAATATAGCTCAATGTATAGAAATTTTTACAAATGTGAGAAATATTCATGTGCACATATCCAAATATATTGCTTACTACATTTTAACATTCCTTTGAAATGCACTTATTTGGGATAAAATGAGAAGCTGTATGGATTCTATAGAACAAAGGTAATATTTAGCATTTTAACTGAAAACACATAGATCTGTAGCAATTCCCATTAATGTTGCTTCAGGTTTCTAAACAACATGTACAATTATAACTCTACATTTCTGGTCACTCAGAGAGATATTTGTAGAAAAAATGAAATATTGTTGAAGATTAATGTAATTTCATTGTAGAAAATTCCATCTAATACACAACTCTATATATAACCACCATCTGACTGCGAGTGGTAGTTGAAGCCAAAGTATATACTTAAAATCATGGAAACTGTAACTTAAATTTTCTTTAAAATTTGAAAAGAGAAATTGCTCAGTTAGCATTAAGGTTTTGAAGAACTACTGATATTCCTGTTTTATAAAAATAGAAACGTTTGAGTCTTAATCTCCATACTTTAAAAAGAATAATATACCTGTCTGGGATTTCCTAAATAAAATTCTTTTGAAAAATTTGCTACTGCAAAGTTTCCCATTGTTATAAATACGGCTGTAATGATTAAAATATATTATGAATGCTTAAAATAAAAATAAGTAAAAAACTCATGAATTTTTTAGACATATGCTTTAGAGCAGGGGTTCTCAACCTTTTGACCAATGTATACCACCTAAACAAAAACTGAAAACCCTTAGTACCACCACTATATTTTACAATGATTACTTTTCAATTTCTGAATAGAAATATAATAATAATAATAATAATAAAATCTTAATTCTTTCAGTTTTTACACACGCTAAAAGAGGCATTTTTTTACACGTTTTGTGTGCCATCTTTATTTATGAAATATGTTCTTCGCACTTAAAACATAAAAATCAGTTCGACAGCAATATCGGAGGAGCATAACTTTAGAATTTCTGATACTCAGTCTCGTGCGCTGGAAATAAAGAGATAATTCTTGTTTTATCCGTACAGTGTTGCCGTTGCTCCCTTTGAAATCATTGTTTTTTTATAAAAAATTCGTTAAAGGGTTACAAAATATGAAACCGATAATAAAACAAATTCCAAATTAGGATTTCCAGATGCCCATAATCAGTAGAGGATTACATTATTCAATATTTCATGGCTCTAGGTGCCGTTGTTTTATCACAATGCGAGAAAAATACATACATTTATGCAGATTCTTCATTATTTAATTTCTTTAAATATAACACAGGGCTCTAATATATGGTTGCAACAATTTGAAAAGTGAAACGGACATTCAAGATTTCAACGTAAAATGCCCAAAAATGAAGTTAATACAGCTTCTGTGCCACCGCCTTTGGGCTAAAAAGAAGAAAGAAACTCCGAATCCTTTCAGATTTTATATTTGCCAAAAGGCTGTTTTTTAAAAATTTGGAGTGTTACCTTTATTTATTAAATATCATACTCTTCACATTTAAACACATAAATTCAATTGAACAGCAATATTACAAAATATTAGAAAAACAGCAAAATAACATACCTTTAGAATTTCCGATGCACTGTTTCACCGACCTGGAGATAATAACGTTTTTTTAAGTCCGTACAGTGAAGCCATAGCTCACTTTGAAATCGCGGAGTTTGTTAATAAAAAATTTCTTAAAAATTTGCAAAATAGATAATAACACGAATTCAAAATTGAAAACTTGGGCACCAACTGGCCATGTTCCATTGGAAAACTAAATTATTCAAATTTTGATGGTTCTAGGTACTATTGTTTTATCACTATACCAGAAACATTCATGCAATCATACAGATTCTTCATTATTTAGTTCCTTTAAATATATAATGCATGGCAATAATATTTGGTGGCAACACTTTCAAAAGTGAATCAACGTGAAAGGCCTTCTTGAAATTAATAGCCAATTTGGGTTAATGCCCTTTGGGCTAAAAAATATTTTGTCATTTGCCCAACCTTTTGGCTAATTGAATTAAATATACACACATAAAAATATTAGATTAAAAATTGGTTACCATTTTAATTATCAAAATGTACTTAATTTTTAATTCTAAACTTTAGTGGCAAATTTGAGCCTGTTTTAGAGAAATCAATTTCTATATGTCTAGTCTTATTTCACTTAGTTTTAAGGAAATTAAAGAGATAGTTTTTTTTTTCTTTTTTACAGGAACTTATTTTTATTTCCTATTAAATACAGCATCCATTTCTATCACGCCTTTCAGAAACGTCATTTATGGTAAGTTTTGTTATGTCAAACACTAAAAGAATATTTGTGAAACGTACAACATGGAAAAACTACGAAAACTCCCCATGGAAACAGATCGTTCGGATCTTGCGAAAGTCTTATAAGTGGCTATTGACTTTGAACAAAAACTATTCATTTTTTAATTTATTAGTTAAAATTGCTTCTTAGCATACTACCCACTTTTCTCTTGCATACCAGCAGTGGTACGCACAGCACTGGCTTTTAGAAACGCATATCCGTTTGAAAACCCCTGGTTTAGAGAAATACTACAGGTAAAAAAAAAATTACCTCATTCTTTGCTTTTCTGCTTCTGGTGGACTGGTTCGGGTAGACCTCTTTTTTTGCTCTGGTTGCTCTCTCTTTTTGCTCAGCATACACTTTTTTTTTTTTTTTTTAAAAAAAGAAAGGAATCAAACTTTTCTGTATACACTGTTCATGATTAACAGAAATGCACTTTTAACATATAATTAATACAGAACCTAACACAGAAATGCATTTTTAGGAAAGGCACATCATTTATTAAATAAATAAATAAAAACCGAAATTGTACACAAACCAAAATAAATGCTTTTAAAATTCTCAATACTTTTTTCCGTATGTACCAGCAATCTACTGAATTTTGTTAGTTAGTTAATCAGTTTTATACTAGATGTGGCCAGTGGTAGGCGGCCGGGCACAGTGCAGACAGCATATCGCACTCAAACTCACACCAGATACGATAGCTGTAGGCTGGGGGTAAAGTAGAGCCTACAGTCGACGGTCATAAAGTACATTTATGAAAATACAGTACAGTCATTTTCTAGTTTAATCATGAAACTGAAAATATTGCATTATAAATGCAACTAAAACAAGACTCTAGGGTATCTTATTGTATCACTGAATAATTTAAGTTGAGAACAAAAAATATTACAGTTGAACGAATATTTTACATTACATTTTAGGTAAGTAGAATGGATAAAAGAAAAAGCAAAACAGGCTCACAGAAACTTCGAGAAAAGAGACTAAAACTGTTATATAGCAGCTGTCTATATATAGACAGGTTTGGTTTATTTAATTATGGCAAAGCACACTAGGGCTATCTGCCTAAGGGGAGGGATGCCTTCGTGGAGGACTTTTCAAGGGGAACTGGCTCGTATACACGTTACACATGGGGAAAACCACGAAAACGCCCATGCAGCAGCCCGTTCGCGGGATTCGAACCTCGGACCAAACTACCAGTGTTCAGCGACTTTACCGCTTGGCCGCTGGCGGGCCGTGTATATATAGACAGAAACTTCTATCCAAAACAATTGTATAAGTTAAATTACAGCATCACATACAATGCCGCACCATCCTACAAAAAACTTGTATATGATTTCAAAAGTATATAAAAAAAGGATGCCTTTACAATTAATCCAGAATATGATTTAAAAGAAAACCTAAAAAATATGAATACTTACAAGTATCTTCTTGGACAGAAGTTTCTTCTGCCTATTATAAAATAGAGTAAAATAACTTAAGAACATTAAAAAAAATTCTATTTTAATCATTATTAGGCAGTACATGAAAGAATATAATTATATACAAAACAAGCATCCATAACACAGAAATCTAGAAACATAGATAGGAATTTTATGTAAAATATAAAATTCTAGAAGAAACTGCATATTTTGGAAATGTTATGCAGACACAACAACACTCTGTCATTCACAATAAAGCTTACTCCTACGGAATAAAAAAAAAAAAAAAAAAAAAGAGTACCCAAAATAAGATTAACACTTTTTTAATATTCAAAATACAAAAACCATTAAACATCATGTGACTGGAAATTTTATATTTACAACTGGAATAAAAATGTACACAGTGTGTGACTGAAATTACCTACTTATCTTGATATTTTTAGTTCTGTTACTGCTCGCCAAGAGAATGCTTCACAGCATACTAAAAAAATTCAAATAAATTTTTTTTCACACACTTTTTAGATGATTTTGCTTTCCTGGGGGGAAAAAAAAAAACTGCTAAAGTCTGCTACTTGACACTTCCATTCTAATGTAAAATGAAGCTTTTAAAGAAGCAACAAATAGAAGGCAATGTTTGTGTTCTTTCTGAACAACATTATTCACATCTAGTTATTAAAAAATGTTGTGAAAGCCATGGGTTTTTGACAGGGCTGTGGAGTCAGGCAGATTTTGGGGAAAAAAGAGTTAGAGCTAGAGTCGCTCAAAACAGATCGAAACCGACTCAAATTTTTGTATTTTTGTAGGACAATTTGAATTTGAAATGAAATTAAAATGCAATGAAAAAAAAATTAAGGACAACCTGAGTTTTTATTTTTATTTTTTTAAACTGCAACTATATTTCAGAAAGTACTCAAAACTCACAAAAACTCGAAATACACAAAAACTCGAAATATCTTCATTAAAAATTTAAAAACATGAAAACCTAAAATTAAATTAACATAACAACATAAAATTAAATTAAATTTGTCTTACCTGAAATGACATCCTGGTCCTAGACCCTCATTTCTTACTTGTGCATTGGTCCTGGGCCCTGGACTCGGCCATTACTTTGGTAAGTGTGTGCTGAAAATTTTTTTAAATTAGAAATAAAATCTTTTAATGGTGCAGGTTCAAGCAAAAGTTTCATTCAGAAACAATACAAAATTTGTCACTACACAATAAATAAAACTGGCATAGTTTGTCAAATGCAGGACAGCTTTCCAATTATCCAGAGTGCCAAGCCTTTCCATGGCACGTAAAATTAAAATTAGATGGCAATTCATTGACAAGCTGTAATTTTTCACATTTAATGATACATTATTAACTATTTAGTATTATTAACACACAAATTATTATTTTTCAACAAAGCAGAAATGGCTTAGCACTATCTTTAGATTGTGGGAAAGAAGGATAAAAATATAAAGAAGAGAAAAACTTGACCAAAAGCACAGATTTTATAACCCTCCAAAAACCATAGAAAACATAATTATTTTATGACCGTTATATCATACGTACAGAATTATAACTATTAGGTTTTAAAGAAAAGTTTTTCTCCACTGAAAATATCATCTGCACAAACAGTTCATGTTGGGAGTGTTTATCATGTTTTTAAAAGAATGGGAGAGAAGAAGTTACAGTTGTCTTCAGTACTTTGTATTGCTCTGTGTGCTATGTTTTTACATAAATTAGTACTTTACAAACCTTGAGGAACCTTTTCTATTTCTTCTGTCAATCATCTTTTCCTTTTTGCCATGTTGTTATAAAATGAAGCAAAGTAACTCCAAGAAATATTGTGAAAACATGGAACATTCCACAGCAACACTACGTTTTGTGTTGCTGTGGCACGAACATGTTCATGGAAAATTCTTTTTGGTATTTAAAAGAAAGAAACTTCTTTTAGAGCACTGTGTTGCGAAATTTGGAAAAGAGAAAAATATCATTAAGTGTCTGAAATGGAACTATCATGCTGCCAGATTAGAACCATCATTTACTTCCAGTTCTGTTGCAAAAAATAAGGCTCAGAATGTCTTCAAATCATGTGTACAGTTTTAGGAACTAATTTTGTATTCATATGACACGGTCCCTTTTGTCAATGAAGAGCATATGACCAATGTAGGTCGCCTCGATCATAAAGCATGTTAATAAATAATAAACATTAAAAAATAAAACACAAACATAAAAAACAGTAATACAAACAAGACAAATTGGCGAGCAGGAGCAATACAAAGCATCAGATTCAAATATTATCTGGTAGACTTCACAATAAACCAATAAGATATATCAAAGATCAACACTCCTCCCATTTAAAACATTTTTAAAATCAAAATTAAATTAAAAAGTTAAATCTTAAAATTTCAAACAGCACAATTCATTACATAAAACGTACAAAATACATAATATTCTACCAAAATAACTTATTTACAAAGCTTATTCTATACTACCAAAACATATTCCTATTTTATCTGCAGTTTTCAAAACTATATATTATACAAACATAAGATCAATCACACAATTTTAAATAAAAACAAAAGATCAAAACATTCTCAGATCTCAATACCACAGACATTTCGATTACAATTTAAATAATTCATAAATACTCTGGCTATTCCATTAAGTTTCTCAAGATCCACCCTATCTACATTATGCTTTAAATCCGCATGATGAATTCATTCAAACAACTTGCAGTCATACCGAGTCGCCATAAACTTTACAATAATGTTTTTATTCGACATAAACTTTATAATAATTGCATACAATATTTTCCTGAATACCAAATCTTTTAAGATAAGTGGTGAAATGGCCATGTCCGGTAATAAATTGATTTAAGTCATCATTGGTCACACCGTTCAAACTACACCCTCGATTGATCAGCATAGTAAATTCAGGATCTACCGTATTGACGACATATAGACACACTTTTTTCCCTAAATTTGGTCTCAAAAGTTACCTGCGTCTTATACGGAAAGACACGATTAACTGTTTCAATATGATTTTTAGCCCGGATAAAGGTCATAACTTTTTCTACATCTGCCATAATTATTTGCGCATGCTCAAATATCTGTCGCCAAAAAACGCCAAAGCTCGAAGCTGATGTCGAAGTTTGAACAGGTTTGATGGCACATTATGTCTATGGAGCCTTTCCTACTTTACATAGACTTTCTTTGACTCATCCGACACACGTGTCGGTATCGGTGCTACTCTGTATAAATGTGTCAGTATTGGTGCTTAAAACTGTTTGTTTTAAAAAAAAAATACCCTGGAAAATATGACTACAGGAAACAAAAGATTAATCTATACGCAATTCAGTATAAACTAGGAGTGTTAAACTACGCTAAAATGCATGGAAACAGAGCAGCAGCAAGGCGTTTCGGTCCACAACCTACCGGAAAAAAATAGCTTGCCGTTTGTTAATTTTCCTTAATAAAAATATGTTTGGTAATTGCATTCAATGATTGTTTATTTGGTTTTTACGAAATGTGAGAACTAAAAGAAGCCACATTTTAAGTTATGTGGTAACAGCTATCGTGCGGACTAATGAAACTTTTTTCCCTTGTGTGTGGCCTTCTAAATAAGGGTGCGTCTTATATGCCGTCAAATACGGTAATTGTAAAAGTTTTTGAACCCGAAGTTTCAACGATGTATAATGTTTATAATGGCGTGTTTAATCATATCTTATCAAACTTTTTTTTGCATTTTAAAGAAAGAGACTTGTTTTAGAACACCGTGTTGTGAAATTTGGAAAAAAAATATCATTATTAAGTATCAGCTGCCTGAAATGGAAACCAGACTAGAACCACCATTTACTTCCATTTATGTTGCAAAAATATATTAAAGATACACAAAACTTACTTCGGGTATGCAAAGAGATGGAGCAGGAGATCTGTAGAAGCTTACTCTTTTGAACACCCTCACCCTTTTCTTTTCATTGCCCTATAAAAGTAGGATATATTTAGGAACAATTATTAGCATAGTGTCCTCTATTACAAATATTTCTTACATTTACAATCAAATGTCAAAAACTTGAGATTGCTGCATGCCAATTTTTATGAGGTATTGACATTAAGTAAACTAAAATAAATGTTGGACGTGAATTTTTCGAGTTATTTGTGTGCATTTATGGTGAGTTATGTCTGTCATAATTTGTTATACTATCCTACATTTTGAAGAACTTAACACCCCAGAATTATGCACTAAATAGATTTGACTATGATACATTTATTGCTTCTGAAATTCAAGCCCTAAAATTTCAGATTGCCTACAAAAATGATACCCCATGCGTCATTTATGTGCATGTTGCTATATAGAGATTCTATTCAAAAGTAAATGAAATTTATTTCAAAATTTTATAAAGTTTATTTCTCTCAATCTTAAAAAAGCATTTTGATCTCACAATGGTAACTGCCTACAAATCATAAAATCACACATCTCTATCGATTTCCAAACTGAATTTTTGAAAAGAATGGCATGCAAACTGCTCTAAATAAAAAACTGTAGGGTATGAGCAGCAGTTGCATGAGGACTCAATATGTCATATGCTAGTCTCAGGTGAGCATAAACTCCATAGGATGTGGAAAAACTTGATCATTTTCCAACTGCTACAGCTTTACGCAGTTGAAGATTTTCTTGCATGATAAATCCTTTGGATGACACTTTTTTAAACATCTAAGGAAATGTTTAAGACTATTATTTCAATTCTCTTATGCTACCAATATATACTATGCTAACTATGAGATCTACATCTAACACTCAAAATTACCTTCCATGAAAGAAAATCCTTGCAATAACCATGAAGATACTACTACAGCAAGATATTAAGCATTTACAGACATAATATTAACAATGAGACTTAACTTCAACTGGGAACTAAGAATGGTTCTACTAAAGCTCCTGAACTAACCTGATAAAAAGCTAAACTAAGCTAAAAAATTAAGGGAACTTAATTAATTATGAATTAAAAATCTGAAATGACAGATACTTAATAGTTTTCCTTATAATATATATAAAGAAGCACAAAACTTACGTGGTGGAGAGGAGGAGATGAGCTCGCAGTTGGTGCTGAGTGCTTTAAAAGTAACATAAATATTTTAGAAACTTTGAATCGCTAGTGTACACATTACAAATATTTCTTACATTTTCACTCAGATATAAAAAAACTGTGAGCTAGGTGTATGCCAGTTTTTATGAGGTCTTGACATTAAATAAAAACTATTATAATTTATGAAAAAAATACGAGTTTGTAGATCGGAATTTTTGAATGTTTTTTTCAAGAGCTTTGTAAGTAGTGAATCTTGTAGTGAATCAAACACTTATAATAAGAAATATATTATAAATTTTAGAATTAATCAAATAAAAATATCTTCAATTAGTTTATCCGAATATATTTTCATGCTCAATTATTGAAATCATACTGAATTTGTATACACATAAGATTAAACGAGAACAATATACGTAAAAATTCGGCTTACAAGAATGTACGGTACCAAAAAAGTTTTTTAAAGGTGTCTTTTAAGTAGCCAACCACTGTAATTTCAAAATTATTTATTTTTGGGAACATTAAATTCTCAATATTAATTATTACCCATAGAAATCAAGTAATGATTACAAACAAACAAAAGACCCAGATTCGAATAGGTCATATTTAAAGATACAATAGTTAAATAATATTTGCCTTAACATCATAAGATATAACATTCTTAACTATATTTTATGTTTCCTTACTGTTACTTCATTCCTATAGTACACACACTATGAAGAATTTATCCCGGTAAAACTAAAATACTCCCTGCAAAGAAACGATCGTGCAATCATAATAAGGCCTACTAAATTCTACATTATTTAAACATGATACAACACATAAGACTTAACTTCCACTGGGAAATTAAAGCCAAGGACTCGGTCTATTAAAAGCTCTAAACTAAGCCTAATAAAAAGTTAATCAATCTTCAAGAATAGTAAATTATGATTAACATATTCAAAATTGAATTCACAGATACACAATAATCTCCTTTAAACATATGTAGTTGCATTAAACTTACGGTGGCTTACGTCGATGAGGAACGGGCGCTTTCTTCGGCTTGCTCATCGGGATGAGGAGACCTTCCCATTAAAAATAGTATATATATAATCTATTAATATATATATATATAAACTTTCACATGTTAGAGCACGCATTACAAATATTTCTTACATTTGCAACAATATCAAAAGTCTTCAGATAACGCATGCCAGTTTTATGAGATATTGACATCAAGGAAACTAAAAGACAAAATGACTATGAAAAATTTGCTGGAAGTGTATTTTGAGTTTTTTTTTTTAAAAAAATTGTGGCAGTGTTCTGAGCTTGTCTTTTATATTTTGACCTACAAAGATTTTTTTATATAGTAAATATCAAGAAAAAATCTCGTTCTTTTGTTTTTATTTTCTTATTTAATATACAGCTGTAGAGGATGAGAAAGGCAGTTCCCCGAATGACTCAATATGTAAGTCACTATTTAAAGTCTTCGACGGAACATAAACTCAGTTAGGACATGGAACAATTAAATCATTTTCCAAGCTGCTGGCAGCTTTACAAAAGTTGAAGATATTTCCTTCACATGATATAAATCCTTTGGCCTACACTTTTTAACACATCTTTAAGGGAAATGTTTAAGACTACTATTTAGTGTTCTCTTACTGCTACCATATATTATACTATGCTATACTATTAACTTACCTGTATCTAACATCTCAAAATTACCTTCCACGAAAAAAAATGATTCCTTGCAATAACCATAAAGGATACTGCTAGTCTAGAACACTACAGGACACTACAAGTCTAGATTATTTAAGCATTTAACAGAATATAATAATGTTAACAACAACGAGACTTATCTTCAACTGGGAAATTAAAACTAAGGACTGGTGTCTTACAGGATTCGTACACATTTCTGCACACAAAAATTAAGTACTTTTAAGGACATTACTAAAAAATTAAGGACCTATAGCAAATAGTAAAACTAATAAATTAAATAAATATTATCTATCCTGAATTTCCCTTTTTGTACCATCCTAAAAATAAAACAATCTCTAAGTATCTGCATTATACTAAGCAATTCATAACAGAAGACTGAATTTGTTATAGGATACCTCTGATTGGAACAACCTGAAGGGCCTGATGTAGCCAATTGTAGTGTGAAAATATCAAGCTCTGCTTTATGTAGTTAATTATAGCTTTAGTAGGTTCTAGGTTGTAACCCGTTAATATATGTCCTAGGTTCCATAAGCCTTAAAAAGCACCTGAGGTGATAAGTGTTTTATTATAACTCAGTAATGCAAAGATAAATTTACTTGATGGGTGATGGTTATTTGATATGTATGTTACGTGGGGTCTCCACACAACGGCTTTTTCGATTGGATTCCCTAAAAACCCAGTGCCGTTTAAAAGGAGGGTAATAAGGATTTTCTCACGTCTTCCTGGTGCCGCCCTTCGTTGTAGTGGTTTGCACAGTGGTAGCGTTTCCAGAAGTCCGCGGTTCGATTTCACGGCAAAGAGTTCTTAAAAAAAAATTTTTACGTTCTGCTTTCAAAAATACTACTGTCTCTACAAACCTTCCCAAACAGTTTGGTAGTTAATAAATTATTTTCTTGCTCTTTAACCAAACCACAACATATTAAAACAAAAAATAACCCTTTTATCTGGTATCATATGTTTTTACATAAACTTTATTCCCGCCCGCGCACTTCATCGTATTAGCACATTTTAGGCATAGACCGCGTCACTAGTTAAAGGAAAAAATGATAAGAAGCATGATGCGCAACAAGCAAGCACCTTTTAACTAATGTTGTTATTTTAACAAAATTAAAAAAATAAAACGTTAATAAATACTATTATATAAAGTAAAAGAGTGGTGTGTGGTGCACCAGATAAAATAACTTTTACAAATTACGTTTTATGCTAAATGATTTTTTAAAAGCATTGGAGCACATCTGCCACCATTCGTTAATAACCTACAGTTCTCTGAAGAAAATAGTTTTACATTGAAATAGTCAATCTCATAGTTTAGAGATAATAATATATTTATTATTAAATTTTTTAGTTTAATTTTGATATTTTTGCAATTTAAAAAAATTTTTAAGATATTTTTTTTTTTTCCTGAAAAACTCATACACTTACGTTGCTGCTGTGCAACAAAACTTACGAGGTGGAGAGTGGTGGCGGACGTGACACTTGCCTTGCTGTGAGTGCCCAAAGTAATATAAAATTTAGAAACTAATATCTAGTGCAACACTTACAATATTCTTCATGAACTCAGAATAAAAAAGCTTGAGCTAGGTGTTGCGTTTTTTAGGTATTGATATTAATAAATCTAGTATAAATTATGAAAAAATAGTTTGTAGATTGGAATTTTTGAGCTTTTCAAGAGCTTTGTAAGTAGGTGAATAAATAAATTCATGCAGTTTATCATGTAGATTAAATATTTTACACTTATAATAGTTGGACATATTTAAAAGAAGATAAGTGACATTTACGTTTTAATAGTTAGCTTTATGCTTTTTTTTAATTTCATTTTGTCACATACTTGGTCAGTATAGAGGTTTAGCAAATAGTAGGGAGATTTTATGTCAAACGGCATAGGTTAAAATGAGAGGTGAGATCATAATCAGCATGATTCATAACAAAAGACTGAATGTTGTCTATAGAGAGACCTGCTGATTGGAACAAACCTGAAAGGCCTGAGTAGGCACAATTGGTAAGTGTGAAAAGTCAGACAAGCTCTGCTTAATGCAGTTAATTTCATAGCTTTATGTAGAGTTCTAGGGGTTGTAACCCAGTTAATATACGTACTTTAAGGTTCCAATAAGCCATTAAAGTGCCAGAGGAGATAAGTTGTTTTATATATAAGTCTCAGTAGATGCAAAGAATAAGTTTTACTT